ATTTTTTCCTGATGAAAGAAGAGAGTCTACTCTTTCTTTTGGTGTGTTCGGTGTTTACATAGTCATAGCACAAACTATTCTGTGGCTCTTGAAAAATCAGTCAAAATGCTCAAAAAACTCTGGCAGTATGGGACTCTGTTCTGAAAATGGCTGCCAGTCAATGAGTTAATGAAAACATCTCCTCATGGTGCGTTCAAGTGCACCCTTAATGACATGGAAATAGCTAGTTTCAGCCCTTATACTTGTTCTAAATCTGAGTTAAGGGCCGTTGGACTTCTTCTTCTTTTTGGATCTTGGAGACATTTCTTTTCTCTTCTTAAAGGCTTCTTCAGGTCTAAATTAAACATGTTTTTAGGGTGTACAAGAATTGTCTTGTCTGGAGATAGCCGAGAAACGGAGCAAACCTGGAGTTACTCCAACTGGGAATCAGTCGGCTCAGCCAGGATGTCTCGACTAGGAATTTCCCGTTCCAGCTTTTTTCCCTTCCGATCCGATCCCGGCCTATCAGAGCATGTTTTAAAGTCTAAAGTTATTTATCTACTTACTTAGTTTCCAGACTCATGTTGAACAGGGATTTACTCTGATAACAACTTAGTGGTTAGGACACAGACCTGTGGGTTAGAGAAGCTAATGCTAATGCTCGTGTGGGATCGGACTTTAAATAAAACTGGATCTGGATGTTAAAATATTGGTATGTTGGTTTAAATATTCCCTTCAGAATACACTGTCATTCCTATAATTCGTTCCAAAAACCTACGATAACTCCTTAATAAATACTGCAAATCACACATAGCAATAAAACAAATTACTTATAGAAGAGAGATGGAAAAATAAATAAACGAGAAAGAAAGAATCAACAGAAAAGGTTTAAAAAAGGGGACAGAAAGGTCCACATCTGGACAGAGGAGGCAGATGTTTGGGCGGAGGAGAGGAAGGCGTTTGTTTTTGTTCCACGTATCTGTGTTAGTTGATCAGACGTGAGCGTGACGTTCAGTCATTACAACCCAAAATCCTGTGAACTCGTCCGGTTTTTTATTCATGTTTGACACGAATGGAGAAATTAAGCCGGCAGAACAGCAGAAATGTCTCCATAAACACATCTGTTAACAGCTATTATAGTTAAAAAAATAGAGCAGACTCATATAAATGTAACATAATGTTGTATTTGGCTCATCAATCTGTTAATTATAAATTAATAATTGCACAAAAATGGCTGTAATGCCATAAACGGAGATTAATCATTCATTTTTAAGAGTTGAAATCCAAAGAAATCAGAATAAGAACTTAACTATTTCATGATTTAAAAAAACAAACAAACTGATAAAATTGATGTAAAGGAGAAAAAAAATGCCAGAAAACCTTTTTTAGGATCTTTTCTGGACCCTGTCCTGTCGTTTTCCTCTTCCAAAGGTTATTCTTTCCATCCTGGATGTGTCATAAAGGACTTCTATCCACTCATCCTCTGGAGGCTTTCTGGTTCTGTCCTTTTCTCTTTAATGGCAGCTGCTGGGTCAGATAAAGTGTCTGTGTTGGATACCCTTTTTCAAACGTTTGAACACCTCCACACCAGAAGATGTGAAATTGATTTTCCTCCAGGGATCTGACACAGATGGAGTGGGAGTGTTTGTTTTTTAAATTATTAATGGAGTGATGAAGAATCATCCAGGTTTTCCCAGTAAAACTCCCTCCAGAGGGTTCACTTTTTCCATTATATCCACATTAATTCCTATTACTATAGTATTGTGAATTAGATTAATGTTCTAATATGGAGGTGTTCAACAGGTGGTCCGCGATCTATCTATCTATCTATCTATCTATCTATCTATCTATCTATCTATC